AATATATATCCTATCCAACAATCGGATATATATATATACGTATATATATATACATAGATACTTACATACACACACATATATATATATATATATAATAATATAATATATATATATATATATATACACATATATCTATATACATATATACATATACATAGATATATATAGATATATATAGATGTATATAGATAATAAATATTTAAATATATATATATATATATATATAGCGGTTTCACCTCGACTCGGCCGATTTTGTGCTCATCGTGTGAGCGCATAGATCTCAAGGACGTACAACTATCCTGCACACAGCAGGTGTTAAATGGTATCTACTCAGAGTCCCTCAGATATTTTCTCTCCTAATTAGGTACCAAGCCAGATCCAGGGAAGCTCCGAAGGCAGAACGGGGGGTCTATCGAGCGTTTCGAGTCACCTTCATGTCGGTGGTATTCCAAAACTCCCCCCACCGGCGTTAACAGTTGTTTGGATGTAATTGGTCGCTGCCAGTGCGAAGCTCAGCACCTGACAAATGATATATCTGATGCATTCGGCACGGCCATGCGTAGTCTAACGGAGGACTTACAGCAGGAATTGCCTTCATCTCTGCACACATCACCTATTCTGCTTAAGATCCGGTTTCTTTCCCACTGAACTTGGTATCTATGTAGCATTTAACCCGCGACGGCTGTTGCTGGATGTACATTGAATATTAAATTCTAGTTCGTCAAATGTTCCCTGGGAAATACTGAAGCAGCGCAGAAGCACCCACTATAGCAGATACACCTCATATCTAACCCATCTACGAGATACCAGTCACATCCATCGATCTCATCAGACCACGTATCACATCTATGCGACGTCCGTCACACATGCACAATACTCATACACAACTCTGTCGAAGCAACACTCATTCGGATGCTCGCTTGAAATCCGGGTATCCCTTCAGCAGTGGCAGTGTATTCTGCCAAGACTCTGTCAGTATTTTGAGAGCGCGTATACAGAACTCCTCGTCATCTTTCCCCGGACTCTCTATCTCCAGTTTCGATAGTATGAACGCCACACGCTCGCAGCCCAAGGCAAGACATGATCCCTTTAGAAAGTGCGCCTTTTTGCTGAATTCCGGATGGGTCTGCGTCGCCCTGCATCAGCAGGTATACAAATGTACAAGGGTGAAAGTTGAGAGAAATACACACAAGCGTGCAACCTTGTCCTAAGTACGAGAATTGCGATAGTGGTACATTGTAAACAGACTATAGAATATGAGAAGAGAGTATGGATACAGAACGCTGGTGCAATGGACAAGTGAGGTTCGATTGAACGGTTGCAAGCAAATTTATGTGATCGTGCTGAGATAACAACCAGATATTACATCTTCATATTTTATTTAGTCGCATCCAGGTGTGAGAGCGTGTCCACATATATGGATATACCTGGACATATACACACAAGACAAGGTACATACAGTAGTCTCATTCATCACCGAGAATACGATAAGCTACAGGATGGACTGTATTGTAGATATGTTTTCAGAACCCAGATAATATTGATTCGAATCTCATTTACTGATAATGAGTACCAACTATTACAAAGATCGCGACTTTCAACGGTATATATGTCATATAACTTAGCATCGTTCACAGTGTCCGCCATCGATAAGACATTGAATACCGTACTCAAAGCATAACAATCCTGTTTTTCTAGACATCTACAAGAATATTTGAAATAAATGACGATGTAGACATACATTTGTATGTATGTGTTGACAAATAAATATGTATGTATTCATACTCATATATAGCTATAAAAATACCTGGTGCTAAATCCGACATTTTCAAATACAGATATGCGCAATATACACATATCTGAATATAAACAGATACATATACCTGCAAACACACACACACACACACACTCACACACACACACACATATATATATATACAGTAAAGTAGTACATCAATAAAATAG